AAAAACACAGCCTAACTACTCACTTTTCAGAAAGAAACCATGGTCTCCATATGCTGCTCAAGACATGCTTTGCAGCTAGCCAGACGATACTGTCCAGGCAAATATTTATTTTTCCGGCAGTTAAAATAGTCTCCTCATATTTACCCCAGCAGTATCATGGTACAGATCACTGACAGCCTGCGAAAAGGCACATGCTCCCTGTGCTAATGACAGACCTGCGTGTGCTCCATCTGCATTGCAGCTGATGTCCTGAAAGGCAGAGAAATAACCTAAATATGCAAAGCAGGGAGGGGAGATTCTTCTTAGGTACGTTCCCTCCATTACCTCAGGGCAGAACAGTTCGTACCATCCTAGACATCAATTAAGCAGCTGAAATCCTGTTTAATCAGAAAGTCAACTCAGCTATGCCTTTACAAACACAGCAAGCCAAGCCCCAAAGCACACTGCTGGAAGGGAAAAACGCAAACTCACGCCCCACAACTCCTAAGCACCTTCCAATGCAGTTTTCCTTCAAATATGAGGAAGTCCTGCAACATCAGCACACACCTTCCTCCGGATCCACCTGAACCGTCCTTGCAGCCCCAGCCATGTGCATCTGTGGGAGCAGCGGGATGGGCATCCCCGGTCCCCGTCCCCAGCAGCCTCCGTCACTGTACTGCAGCTCCTGGCTGGCTGGTGCACAATCTGGTGTTCTTTCATCACCCAACAAATCAGAACTATTCCTGATCTTACTGTGAAACATGGACACAGGCAACAACAGGACTGCTTCTGCTTAGGTCATACTCTACAGAGTTGAGACATGGTTTGGTCCAAGCACCTACCTGGAGCAAGGAGGTAAGAAGCGCTCCCGTGTTCCTTCGTACGGTCAGGCCACTACACAAGTAAGAAGGGCTTGAGCTTTCTTAATTAGCCTCCTGTTAACTAGCCTGTATATAAGAAGCCAAATTATGCTCTCATTTGTACTCCTGTAAGCGCAAGCGAAGCTTGTGGCTTGCCCGCCAGGTTCACAGAGGGTTATCTGACGGCAGCGCGTTTTAAATCAGCCTCTCTGGAGCTCCTCGCTGGGAGCTTGGCCTTGAAACGTTACTGCGAGAAGAAATGGGCCAACAGCAAGCTTCTAAAATAGGCTGAAACACAGCAATGACATTTACTGTTAGCAACGTAAAGTCTTTTTCTCAGTTCTAATATAATTAGGAAGGATTCACAAGAGATGCTAACAAGCTAGTCTAAACATCAAACCAACAAGTAAACAATAATACTAATACTGTTGGACTGCTGTGACGGCTAGGGCCGGAAAGAGAATGGAACAGTGCTCCCAGAAACGTGCAACATCTGAAGTACATTTCCTTTTCTCTTTTACCAGCAAATCGCCTGGGAGCGGAGAGGGAAGGGGAGAAGTCATTTCCTTGATCTACATAGTATGGCCCTTTTTGTTATTGTTCGCTTGCCAATGATTGGACTGAAAAGGAAAGAAGCAAACACATCCTTGAAGGTATTACATCTCTGCCCTGGAGACTGGCTGGGGGGGGGGGGGGAGGAAAAACAATACAAGATATCCCCCAACAAGGCTCTCCTGAAACCCACTCCAATGTGGTCACCGGAAGGAAAAAGAGCCCGATTCCCCCTGAGCCCTGGGAAATGCAGGATGTGCGCAGCAGCTTGCCAGCAGCACCTTGCCTCCTGCCCTCGCCTGCTGCAGAGCCCAGTCAAGTGGGGAGACTGTTGCTTCGCTGCCAGCATACGTTGCCCAAGAAGTGGGTTGGCTTAACGCTTCAAATCTGCTAACTGGCTCCCCTCCGTTTGCTCTGAAAGATGTCAGCATTTAATTTCTTCCAGCAGAGCCCCTGACATCACTATTTTTCTCTATTTCAACAGGGCCCATCTTCCAACAGCCTGTACCTTCAGGGACGGCGATGAACTGGGACCCACCTCTGGGTAAAAGGATAAAATCGTCCCTCTTCCACAGAGGGGAGGTCACCAAATCTCACTCCTGGCAGCAGGACCTGCGTACACACAAGCATGACTGAACAGCCACAATCCCTTCCTGGTGCAGGACGTGTCCTGGTGCTGTTCGAGGGAGGCACAACCCCAGCAAGGGTCGGGCCAGCCCATGCACACCACTCACGATCGTGCATCAGCCACGTAAACCGCCGCCCCAGCGCGGCTGGCAGAATTGGCCACACCAAGGGTTAGGCAAAGTGTCTCACTGCAAACGCGTGGATTTTTAGAAATCTGCTTCTCCCTGGTTTTCTGACAGTAGTCGTGGTTTTTTTAACCACAACTTTCGAGGGAGTGGAGAAAAAGCACGATTTTTGTCCGTCCCCTGAAGCAGACAACTTGCCTATATACATTTTATGTTCAACACATGTAAAACGGGAGACTTAGACTGATGGCTTTCATTCCCCTTTTCCTCTCTCATATTGAAATACAGTATTTTCTATCATTACTCCCTTTTTTTCACCAGTAGCTTTCCATTTCAAATCCTTTGCCCCAGCACATTTCCAGAGAGTCTTCATTTACTAACTGGGTAACAGGGAAAAAAATCAGCTTCACCTTGCTAAACTAAGCTTTTTTCCCTTTTTCCAGTCTCGTCTAAAACATAAACTTTCTTGTCTTGCATTGGAAAACTTTGGAAAGGGTTGCCTTTTAGAATAAGCAGCTGCTAGCTGTTCTTTCAGTCCCCACCAATCCACCTCATTAGAAAAGGGATTAAGCTGTCTTTTAACCAAACACATACAAACATTAATGGAAGTAAATACTTACACCTCTCTAGTGCTGGTCTCCAAATAGAGAAGGTAAAATCAGTTCTAAAATGAGGATCTAGAGCATTTATTTCTAAAGCACCAGTTGCACAGCAGAAATTTAAAACAGCTTGAACTTGCCGTTGAATTATTTGTAACAGGAGATTGGTGTGGAAGGGCAATTTGGAGGCTGCCTGAACACAAAGGGTATAAAAAGTTCCTGAAGCAAAGCCCTGGGTGGAGCTGCAAATTCTCTCCACAGGAGAAGATCTCAAATTAATTTAGGAGGGACAAAAGAGCAAGCTGCTGACTTCTGAGCCTCTAGGAAACTGCCGTCATCTGCAAATACCCCTTTTCTTTCAGTTTTCCTGTCTTCAGTCGGATGACAGGGAAGTGCTCTACTGAAAACATAGGTGAGGGAAGGCAGGCAGCGTTAGACAGCTGGGAAACGAGCAGAGTTCAAGGTTCCGCTATCATCAAATAGCGCACACACCTTTCTATATTTGTTCCCACTTTACAGCTCCAAATAAAACACGTTCCCTTGCAGTCTTGATGAGTTTACAATTCTAAATACAACACAGGAAAAAAAAACAAACCCCAAAGTTCATCTTGGAAAACCAAAGTGATATATACAAAAACACCAGATGGATTACTATTATTTTTACTGCTGCCACATATATAGCTACATTTCTAAAAATAAGCTGCTAGCTCCAGGGTTAACACAACAGAATACAAAAAACACCGTGTTGCAAATACAGCCAGGACGTGGTCTCAAGAGACCTGGGTGCTCACCCTAGCTCCATCACAGACTTTCCTTGAAAAGCCACTTGGGAGAATTCGTACACTGGAGCACACTATAATTTTCAGCAAGCTTCAGACTGTGTCTTGGGTATGAAAAACAGCATGGAGCTTCACCAGGCTCTTTTAACTATTCAGTAGGCTTTGTAGGCAGATTTTGCAGCACCTGCCATCCCTGCTTCTATTCTGATACCACTAGCACAATAACAAGCTGAAAATAAGCAGGCAGAGACATGCTGTTGGTCTCCCCGTGGCTCAGTTTCTCGGTCTGCGCAGCTTACAAAACAAAAAGCAAGATGTGTAACCTGGCTCATTCACGCTTTGCCAGAAAGTGCCTCAGAAGGGCAAGGCTATTACAGTTCGTAAAAATCACGTACGTAGTAAAAATGCAGTGACAAAAAACTGTACTGCTACGGGGGCAGCAAGGTGAGAAGGGTGGGTAGCACATGAGCAATGTCTATAAATAAAACTATTGTCATTCTCCCCTTTTACCATGCTCTCATTTTTGGCACCCGGCGAGGCAGTCAGTCATTTCAGCGACCAACACGTTTTTCCAGGCAATTTCTCTAGAGGCAGTGTTACAGAGATACAGTTCAGACCCTCCCATCTGTAGCACATGCTACACACATGTCCTACACACAGCAGGACCAAGCATGATATTCACATTGGAGACATGGAGCGGGACCAACTTCACCTATGCCAACTACAAAATAGGCATTTCATCTCAGCTGTCTGTCCAGACTCCCTTTGGAGAGAAGGGGCCACATCCTAAAACCGACGTCTAAGGCAGGCAGATGAACTACTCTCTGGACGGGGCTCTCAGGCCAGAGACAGCATGCTAGACTAGGCAGCAACTTTTCAGGTGGCTTAAACTAGCTGAGCTGGCTTCCACTGCACAGTGACTTAGCTGAGACAGGAAAAATGAAAGAGAGGAAGATTGTCTCCTCTTACAAAAAGATGCATCTTACTTTCACAGAGCTTCTGCCACACGCATCTGGCAAGCCCATACAGACAAGCAAGGTGTTCAAAGCAGTGTCTCTCTTTTGGATTGACAGACTGCAAGGGCTTTAAAGTCTGACTTGCCAAATAACAAAAACTAAAACCTAAATGCCAATTACAGCATATTTACTGACACTTAAAAAAAAATAATCTCATAAATAAGGAAATGTGGCTACACTGAGACACAAAGGAATTAAAATAACTGTCCCTCACATCAGAAAGCTGAAGGCAGGCATAATCCAAAATTTCTTTTCTAAATGCCTTGCAAGAATCTATTCAAAAACAAACAGTGAACACCACCACAAAGACATACACCTGAAACAAAGTCCATCTGGCAGATAACTGAATAACTGCAATTTTTTTTTTTTTTTTAACCAGAAAAATGTTGATCTGGAAGAATTTGTCACAGAGCTCTACTCAAACGTGGCAGCAGAGGCAAGCCAGGCAACAGGGAGTACTTACTGCAGGCTCCACAGGTGAAACAGCCATCGTGGTAGAGATTTCCCATGGCCTGACAAGCCTGGTTGGCTCCATACACACCTTTGTTGCACTTCACACAGGTTCCTAGAAGAGAAAAGAGACAGCAAAGGTCAGCAGTGGGATTTAATAACACAGCTGGTTCACACAGGAGAAAGAGGCGAGCTGGCTGCGTGGGTAATCACACCTGCAATTCACACTGAATTTAGGACCGGACAACCCAATGTAACCACAAGATGTAGGTGACATCAGCGTTACTTACCCTGAGAACTGCTGTTAACAGGGGCCACTGGTTACACACAGCAAAAGCATTTTTTGCAAATTAAGTGATGAGAACAACGAGCTCAGAGCCCTATTTGCCTACACTTACATCCCCTTCTTTCTCCTGGCCTTTTTCAAAACTTTCATACACATTCAGAAAAAACTTAAAGACCCTTTCCAAAAGTCTGGGTGGTAGTAAATGGTGTTCAGGGCTGTTCACTGACAAACAGTTTCTCCTACTTAATGCATAATATAAGCTTGCCGGTTGCAACCGACACGAGAAAGATACAATTCTTAGACCCTTTAAATCATATTTCAGACTCCCGACCCTTCTGCTGAACGCCCCAAATCTCTAAAGATTTCTTACTAAACTAGAATGGGATTGATTATCTGAAAATCTACCTCTCTTCTCTCCCCCAACCATGTCAGAAAAGAGAGCTCCAACACAGATGCTACCTACAGAATAGCGTATCGTGCTCCAGATGTTCTCCTAGCTCCTTGCAGGATAACAGAAGAAACAAATCAGTTTTAAAGAGCATGTATTTGCTGGCAGCAGCAGTGCAAGCTATCTTGGGCCTGGTTCTCAGAGAGCCCATGGGATGAAAGAGGGCCAGGGCAGGCCCACACAGATCAACTTTTGGAGCCCCAACCCCACCTGCAGCTTCTCTCTGATGGAAGCGATTGTAAGCACAGCTCAGAACTGCGGCAGCCACCCAACACTCCTATTACCCCACCAGGGAAACACAACATGGGGATGGGATTCTCTTATTTGGGAGTGGCAGAGAAACATTTGCCAAATGCAGTTACTAGGGTGGGGACAGGGGTGAAATACGCCATAAATAAATAAATAAATTTAAACCACGGTGAAATAAGCCATGCCCTTTCCAAGGCGCCTGTGACCTCCTCTTCTCCAGGAGAGAGCTCAGGCAGCAGATGGCTGAAGCACAGCACCGCTACACTGCCTCTCTGGATACACTGCAACCCTGCTAAAAAAACAAAAAAACTTCTGAAGAAGGCTTCTGTACAAAGAGCGCCATGACTGCTGTGTGCAGACAACGATCATGTCACAGCCCCATACTAAGGCAACTGCTTGTAGGAAGCCCCGTCTCTTGGCACAGCCAAGCCCCCTTCCTGCAGCACCCCACCCCAGACATGGGGATCACACCCATAACCCACGCCAGCAGCATGGACGGGGGGCACTAGGCTCATAGGACACAGCGCCTTTAAGCCTGATTTGTACCTCATCAAGTAGCCCCTGGGACTACCCAGGTATAGAGCTGCCAATTAGACACAACAGGGCAGCTGCATGGCAGGGGCAGAGGGAAAGGAGGAGCAAAGCTGCAGCAGTGATGGTTAACTGAGACCCTCTAAAAGCTTAAAGCAAAAAAGATCTGCAGAACAGTTCAGTTCAGGGCCATGCTCAGACTGGTGGTCAGATCTGGCCTCATCTCTCAAGAGATAGCTGGCACTGTTTAACAGGTAACAAGACAAAATCCACAATGGATTTACTATGCCATCCTTCTGTGCTTACAGAATAAGGCCAGCTGGAGCCATGCTTAACGATTAGAGACCACACTTGGTTTACGCAAACGTATTTCACTTCCAAGAAAACCTCTTTGGATAACAAAGTAAGAAATGACAGTAGAAATTCACTTCCTTGAAGGCACCTAGGAGCAAGACTTGCCCCTCCCACTCTTCAGGGAAGAGCACAGCAGCTGAAGACGCTGGCAGCTCTGCACCCAAATGGGACCATCCCCTGGAGAGGCACTGCTATGTCCTCTGCTCTAGTCGCACCAGTGACGTGGCGGGCGAGCTGCAGAGGTGAGCCCCGGTCACCCACCGTCAGGGAGGAGAAAATCACTGCTATCTAGTACTTCAGCGGCTTCAGAGCCGGCACCCTCCTTGCTGTGCTCAGACCACGCCGAGGAGAGGCGGAGAGGGCTGCCAAAAACCACCACCAGTGGCTGGGCAGAGGAAGTCCCTGTCTAAAATGACAGATCAAGCTAGTTTGTTTACCTTAGGCATTACCATGCAATCGTGATAGACCAGTTTTAAAGCAGAATCACCCTTTAACTATCTCTAAATTAGCAACTGACAGTTGCTTTAATCCATGTTTACTTCAGCTGTCTCTATTTTACCCGAGATGGGCGGCGTGAAGGGCAGATAAAAAGATTGTCTTCTCTTGCTGCTCCACAGCAAACTTTCGGCTATAACTTCACCTCCTGGTCTCTCCTTCCACCGCTGTTCAGTCTGACTTACTGCGACTGCTCGGAGCAGGGATTGTCAGTCACGTTGCACTGGCCCAAGACAAGGGAGAGCCTGATCTGACTGGAAATCCTTAGTCATGCTGTGGTTAACAAAACTGCACTTCTTTCAGGGTACCGCAAGCTCCAGAGTAATCAGAAAGGTCTCGTCCACATTAGGAAAAAAAACAATGTACTTAAGACAGCCCTGAAAAGTCACTTCCAATTCTGGCAGAACCACGCGGGCAATCGAAGTTTGAGAACAATTTCCTCCTGCTGCTGCTGATACCTATGACAGTCAGCTTTCACATTACAGTGCTAAAAACGCTCAAGACCCATTTATGGTGGTACATAGATGGCTGCTGAAAAGCAGACACTTAATTTTCCCAGCGCAGACTTGGCTTGCTTTGGTGCAGCTGTATATGTGCATTCAACCAGAACGCTGAAAACTGTCACTAACGCGGCTCCAAGCCCCCCTGCACTCAGAGCTAGAGCCCAAACTGACAAAAACCTAAGGGAAGGCTGAAAAGAATAAGCAGTCGTCTATTTTGTCCAAAACTGACCTGAACTGACATGCGAGCTTGGCTGCAGGCCCACCCCAACAAGCAGATTGGCACAAAGTTTAAAAAAATAGCTGGTTCTTCTCAGACCAAGCAGATTTAACTCAGTTACTTATTGAAACAAAGATCTGAAGAAAGCAAACGTGTTCACGAATTAAAGATAAGTTATGCAGGCATTTCAAAAAAAAAAAAGGTGCAGATAAGAAAATTTGACTTTTCAGATGCCTATGTTCTCTCACAAACGTGTACATTCTGCTCCAACCCAATATATTGTGCAATCATCTGACATAAACACTAAAGGCTGGCTCATAAAATTGCCTATCGACTGCAACAACGCACAGTGGAAAGTTCTGAGAGCAGAAAAACTGCAGATTTTCCTGCTTAAAATCTTCTTTCCATGGCATTCCCAAGGTTTTCCACAGAAACTATGTATTTACTGTACTGAAAGTGCCTACGTTTTTCCCTTCTTCATGCCAACGAGCGGCTGCTCCAGAAAATCACCAGCGCGTTCCAATTTCCTCCTTTGCAGAAAGCACCCGGCAGAGCGACGACACTGAATATGTATGAGTAGTAACATGAATTAAGAGGCAGAAGGCACAACCAGGGAAGCCTGCGTGCCTTTCTCCTTCCTGTCACTGGCAGGTCTCCGCGAAAGGGGCACTAACCCAGCAGAATGCTGCCACACAACGTACCCCAGCAGCAGGATCGTTTTCCCGCAGAAGCCTGGCTCTAGCCCAGAACAAGAGCAAGAGAAGAGAAGAGAAGGCACCTTCCTCTGCCCTCCATCTCAGAAAAATGCAAATGCCAGATGACCCATCTCGGGAGGAATATTAAAACGCCACTGTGATTTGAGCAGAGCGTTGGACACCGTGCTGCAAACGGGAAGAGCTCGGCAGCTGACGACAGCCGCTCCCGTGTGCCGGCGTAGGCACACCGGGCCAGCGCCACAGCCGGCACAACCCCAGCCAGAGCACAAACACCGGTGCCCTACGGCTACAAACACGTTGACAGGCATCAAAAGCCACTTTAAAAACATCATAATGCTAACGCCATGGAGGGCAGAAATTGCCCTGTGTTTCCATCAAGGGGCTATTCCTACCGGATGTTGCAGGAGCTACCCTAAAAAGGCTCCCTGGGCTCTCAGAGCCATAATCATCCTTGCCTCCACCTCCAGACCCCACTACCGCCCCATCATTCTTTCTCCTTTCCTTTATCTCACAGTACACGTCCTATTTCATCTCCTGCTTAACCCTTTCTTTCTTTAAATATTTCAGCCCCTAAAATAGGAAAAACAGAAAAAAATCATAAAATGAAAGGGCTTTTAAAATAAATTGATGTTGTCCATAAAGACGTACTACCTTAAATTACTTCCCTATGTACTAACCAATCACACTATAAATATTTATAAGTGTCTTATGGTAAGTTTATAAAGGACAGGTTGACAAATGACAAATGGCGTTAGGGCAAGTCTGTGTACGGTTTATTATATTTTTTTGTTACATCTGCTAAATCTTACGTAAAAGCCAATTAAACCTTGGTAGTAATTGGCATTATTCTAGAAAGTCTTTGCTTCTTCCAATTTTAATACTCCACAGTATTCTTAGCAACATATTTCCGCCTTCCCCTCCGACTTTCAGCCCACCGCAGCCTGAAAGCGGAAAAAAGGTGATTTTTATTGATTTTTTCCTTTCCGCTTTTTTGCAGCTTGCTCCCTGTTGCCACAATGATCCTGTTCTTTTCAGTTCAGGCTACGCACAGAAAAATACCTGTTGCAGATGCCAGCCAGTTGCTGAGCGCAGCAACACGAGTGCTGCGCCAGCCTGATCAAAGGCAGACCAGTAAAAGCAACATCCAACCCCAATCCATTTCAAAACTGTATTTATGCCCTGCTCCATGTCAACTCTAACTACTATTTTCTGAAACAGTGCTGAGCATGCTTTCTACTAGCCAGTGCTTAGAGTTAAACATCAATACAGATGTACATGCCACTGATGCTAGTCAGCAGCTCTGGGTAATTTTCTTG